AATCCAGCAGCACATCAAAAAGCTTATCCACCACCATTATGTCGGCTTCATCCCTGGGATGCAAGGGTGGTTCAACATATGCATCAATAAACGTAATCCATCATATAAACAGAACCAAAAACAAAAACTACATGATTATCTCAACAGATGCAGAAAAGGCCTTTGACAAAATTCAACAGCCCTTCATGCCAAAAACTCTCAATAAACTAGGTATTGATGGGCCGTATCTCAAAATAAAGAGCTATTTATGACAAACCCACAGCCAATATCGTACTGAATGGGCAAAAACTGGAAACATTCCCTTTGAAAACTGGCACAAGACAGGGATGCCCTCTCTCTCCACTCCTATTCAACATAGTGTGGGAAGTTCTGGCCAGGACAATCAGGCAGGAGAAATAAATAAAGAGTATTCAATTAGGAAAAGAGGAAGTCAAATTGTCCGTGTTTGCAGATGACATGATTGTATATTAAGAAAACCCCATCGTCGCAGCCCAAAATCTCTTTACGCTGATAGGCAACTTCAGCAAAGTCTCTGGATTCAAAATCAATGTGCAAAAATCACAAGCATTCTTATACACCAATAAGAGACAAAAAGAGAGTCAAATCATGAGTGAACTCCCATTCACAATTGCTTCAAAAAGAATAAAATACCTAGGAATCCAACTTAAAGGGATGTGAAGGACCTCTTCAAGGAGAACTACAAACCACTGCTCAATGGAATAAAAGAGGCAACAAACAAATGGAAGAATATTCCATGCTCATGGACAGGAAAAATCAATATCATGAAAATGGCCATACTGCCCAAGGTAATTAATAGATTCAATGCCATCCCCATTAAGCTACCAATGACTTTCTTCACAGAATTCGAAAAAACTACTTTCAAGTTCATATGGAACCAGAAAAGAGCCCACATTGCCAAAACAATCCTAAGCCAAAAGAACAAAGCTGGAGGCATCACACTACCTGACTTCATACTATACAACAAGACTACAGTAACCAAAACAGCATGGTACTGGTACCAAAACAGAGATGTAGACCAATGGAACTGAACAGAGCCCTCAGAAATAATGCCACACACGTATAACCATCTGATCTTCGACAAACCTGACAAAAACAAGAAATGGGGAAAGGATTCCCTATTTAATAAATGGTGCTGGAAAAACTGGCTAGCCCTATATAGAAAGCTGAAACTGGATCTCTTTCTTACACCTTATACAAAAATCAATTCAAGATGGATTAGAGAGTTAAATATTAGACCTAAAACCATAAAAACCCTAGAAGAAAACCTAGGCAATACCATTTAGGACATAGGCATAGGCAAGAACTTCATGTCTAAAACACCAAAAGCAATGGCAACAAAAGCCTTAAATTGACAAATGGTATCTAATTAAACAAGAGCTTCTGCACAGCAAAAGAAACTACCATCAGAGTGAACAGGCAACCTGCAGAATGGGAGAAAAGTTTTGCAATCTACCCATCTGACAAAGGGCTAATATCCAGAACCTACAAAGAATTCAAACAAATTTACAAGAAAAGAACAACCCCATCAAAAAGTGGGCAAAGGACATGAACAGACATGTCTCAAAAGAAGACATTTATGTACCCAACAGACACATGAAAAAATGCTCATCATCACTAGCCACCAGAGAAATGCAAATCAAAACCACAATGAGATACCATCTCACACCTAGTTAGAATGGCGATCATTAAAAAGTCAGGAAACAACAGGTGCTGTCTCTTATACACATCTAGATGTGTATAAGAGACAGCTCCCAAAGTGCTGGGATTACAGGCGTGAGCCACCGTGCCCAGCCCAAGTACACTTAGTCTTAAATCCTGTCTCCACTATTTGCTAGCGATGTAACTGGGTATATTACCTCGTCTGTACAACAGGGATAATGCCACCAATCTCCTGGTTACTGTGTAATTGCTCAGCATACTAGCATACTACCCGACACGTGGCAAATAGTAGCAGGATCAAATGGGAGAATATATAATTGCCCAGTGGCAGTAAGACTAGAAACTTTGTGTTATTACTTCTCAAATGTCCTTCTCTGTATTTCTTAGAGATGCCTAATCCCATTTATTAAAACTGAGAAAATGATCTTATCATTAACCAAGTTTCAGTAAGTAGTAGGATCAAATGGGATGGTGTACAAATGGGTTTATACATTATGAATAACTAACTTTACTTTGAAAGGCTAATTTCTTGTGTCTTCATTCACAAAAGTTTTCTCTTCATCTCTAACTTGTTTTTAAAATTCATTCATTGGTATTTTAAACAAACTGGAAACTAGGGAGTCCCTAAAGGCCACACACAGACTTACCTTCTAAAAGCTGGGAAAACTGAATTTTTTTTTAATCCAAAATTATGTAACATAAAGTACAAGTAGTATATTAACTATTTTAAAAACCTGATGCTGCTTCTGCCTTTTCTTCTACCTCATTGAGTTTAAAGAGTTTTTATTAAGATATTGTTTTTAACAATTCTGAGAAATTATTTTAAAATGCACTGAAAAGGCAATTAAAATTCTCTTCTCATAGATATATGTATATTTTACTAGCCTAACTACATAATTTTTAATACAAGAAAGATTTCATTTATCATGAGATCTGAAGTTAGAGCTTATAATTATTTATAGTAGTCAATAATGCTAATGTTAATGATTTTAAATACAGTTTATATGTTCTAAATGACATATAATTTACATTTGAATATACAGGTGCTTTTAAGAATTGGGCATTAATGCTGTCCTTAAGAATGTCTTTCATCCTTAATTTTCATTTTCTAGGGAATAAAAAACAGGATAGAAAATTGCTTGGATTTCCTGGTTTTTTGCTCTTCACTTAAAGATAACATTATTCTCATTAGCTCTGCAAAATAATACAAATACAAGACCTATAACACAGTTTCTTCTTTTCACAGCTTCGGTGTTTACTTGCCTGGCAATAGCATTGGGATTTTATAGATTCTGGAAGTAGTAGTAATGCTCATACTGCCATGGCTGTTGGCTTCTTAGAACACCAAACCAGGAGAGATTTACTTTGAACATTGTCAGTTGCAGCAAAAATTTACTACACAAGATTATTCAAAGTATATATGAACTAAAAGAGGACTATTTTAGAAAGAGATATTTTGTCTTTATTGTGTGTGTCTTTAGTATATTGAAAAGCTGTCATTCAGACCTGGTTTGAGATGGAAGAGCATTTCGCCCTTTTTGATAGTTCATAGAAATCGAACCAGAGTTTTCTTGTGTTTGCTTGAACAATTGTGTAAATCATACAGGATTTTGTTGGTATTGGTTGAATATTTGATATTGGTTGAATATTTGAAAACTATTCCCTAGCCTACATATTTATTACTGAATTAACTTTTCCTGATAACCATTGCATAATTACATTTTTTTTTTATAAAATAAAAGACTATTACAACAAAGTTGTGTGGGTTTTAAAAGTGACTTACCATATAGCTGGAGATTGATTTCTTTTTGGTAATGAACTAAAACAATAAATTTTAAAATGATTGATAGGCCAGGTGCGGTGGCTCACACCGGTAATCTCAGCACTTTGGGAGGCTGAGGCAGGCGGATCACTTGAGGTCAGGTGTTCTAGACCAGCCTGGCCAACATGGTGAAACCCTGTCGCTACTGAAAATACAAAAATTGGCCAGATGTGGTGGTGCATGCCTGTAATCCCAGCTACTTGGGAGACTGAGGCAGGAGAATTGCTTGAACCTGGGAGGAAGAGGTTGCAGTGAGCTGAGATAGCGCCACTGCACTCCAGCCTGGGTGACAGAGCAAGACTCCATTTCATAAATAAATGTGTGCTTTAGTGCAAATGTACACCACTTAATATGAAATCTGTAGAGTTGCTAAATATTGAGCTCTGATTATTACATGTATTTTTAAAATATCTGATACTCAAAAACCAGTTTATCCCTGCTTCTTAATCTAGTTTAAGTTAACCCATCTTAAATTTATTACATAAAACAAAACTTTCGTTAATGACTTAAATTCAGCAAACATTTATTGATATCTAGTACCTACTCTCAAGAAACTCATAGGAAAATTTAAATTCTAGTTTTGTTATTAGATGTATATTTTTTCTTACAAAGTAATATCTATTAGTAAATCATAAGTAATTTCAAAGAAATTTTAAAATGTCCTTTTCATCTTAGTTCTTCAGTTTTATCCAGATCAAGAAGACAAGACCAAAAAGTAAACATTTTGATTTCATAATGCCTTGGTAATAGCTATAAAAGTTGGACAAAATCAGTTATTCAAAATAACCTTGTCATTTGTTTAGCTATAAACAAACAGGAAATCTGCAGCATAGAGTAGTCAAGAGATTGGTCCATATGGTCCAGTGAGTTAGCGAGTCAGAGGCTTTCCAACTATATTTTCCTCAAAAATCTAACTGCTGCTTTGTTTTCAAAAGAAAAACTCTTGACATTATCCTGTTGCATTCTGATTCATTTTTATCTCACAATCCTATTGCCTAAGAGAGTTCTTAGCACATTGTACATGAATTTCTACTGGGTCAATTAATAAGTGACCATATATATTAAAGTCCACTGTAACAAAGTACACTGCATTTGTTCAATTAACCAGTATGACTGCCTGCTATATGCCAAATAGCATGCTAGTCCTTTTGTGCACAGAGATAAACATGGTTTTATTCTTATTGAATTGATAATCTTAGTGAAGAAGAGAGACATTAAGCAAGTAAATAAATTAGTAGTCTGTTAAGATTTAAAATACTCTAAAATATTAAGAGGGAATGTGTCTCTCCTCCATGTGAAGGAAGCTCCAGTAGCATAACTATCGTCATTCTTCATCCCCTTATCCAGTCTGCCCTGGGTAAAGTGACTTGCCCAATTGTAAATCTAGTAGAAGAAACAAGGCGCAATTAGCCTACTTCCTCCCCACTCCTATTTGGGACCAGCCTATCTGAAGAGACATTCATTCTATTCTGCTTCTGTGGGATCAGGCTCTGCCTCTGCAGAGACAGGGTCTCATGTGTTGCTAGGCTGGAGTGCAGTGACTATAGGCATGATCATCTTTAGCCTTGATGAACTCCTTGGCTCAAGCAATCCTGCTGCCTCAGCCTCCAAAGTAGCTAGGACTACAGATATGTGCCACTGTGCTCAGCAAGAGAATATGGGTTTTATCTTAAGGCCAGTAAGCTTCCTATCACTGAACTCTAGAATTGGACAGATTTACCCTGTCTCAAGCATTGCTCTACTGGGCCAGACCCTTAACCTGCTGAACTGGTTTCAGCAATCAGATGCACTGTTGTCACAGCAAACTATTTCTGGTGATATTAGGTCAGAATGACTTTAGTATCCACATGAAGTACATGCAAGGGTCCAAAGGGTGGGCAGTCTATGGAATGGTGAGATGGCTGCTGCCACGGAAGCCCAAAACCAGTGACAGATCTTCAGGGGGAGAAAAGAGCGACACAGCTGGCCCCAAGAGAGTCATAAATCTTTCCTAGCTCATGGAGGGAAGAGAAGAGAAAAGAGAGGGGGGTTGGAAAAAAGAGGGAATTGAAGTCAGAAATGAACTGAAAAGCCATAGCTGTTTTTTAGTTGGCCAAGCACTACTACTCTTTAAGATCAAGGGGAAAAAGAGGAAAAACTAAAGCTAAGTGTTTCTTATCCTGACCAATCTGCCTCTTCTCTATATTCTTAAAAACCTTGCAGTTATGTCATTTGAAAAAAAAATTTTTTTAAACATGTCCACACTAGAAGTGAAGGGTACTCTCTAGAAAGTGAAAGAAATAGAAGATGGCCGAATAGGAAGAGCTCCAGGCTATAGCTCCCAGCATGAGCGACACAGAAGACAGGTGATTTCTGCATTTCCAACTGAGGTACCGGGTTCATCTCACTGGGGCGTGTCAGACAGTGGGTGCAGGACAGAGGGTGCAGCCCACCGAGTGAGAGCCAAAGCAGGGCGAGGCATCGCCTCACCCAGGAAGTGCAAGGGGTAAGGGAATTCCCTTTCCTAACCAAGGGAAACCATGACACACAGCACCTGGAAAATTGGGTCACTCCCACCCTAATACTGTGCTTTTCCAAGGGTTTGAGCAAACGGCACACCAGGAGATTATATCCCACACTTGGCTGGGAGGGTCCCACATCCATGGAGCCTCTCTTATTGCTAGCACAGCAGTCTAACTGCAAGGTGGCAGTAAGGCTGAAGGAGGGATGCCTGCCATTCCTGAGGCTTGAGTAGGTAAACAAAGTGGCCAGGAAGCTCGAAAAGGATGGAGCCCACCGCAGTTCAAAGAGGCCTGCATGCCTCTGTAGACTCCAGCCAAGTGTAGACTCTGGAGATAAGGCATAGCCAGGGACAAGGCACAGCCAAACAAAAGGCAGCAGAAACCTCTGCAGATTTAAATGTCCCTGTCTGACAGCTTTGAAGAGAGTAGTAGTTCTCCCAGCACGGAGTTTGAGATCTGAGAAAGGACAGACTGCCTCCTTAAGTGGGTCCCTGACCCCAAGTAGCCTAACTGAAAGGCACCCCCGAGTAGGGCAAACTGACACCTCACACGGCCAGGTACCCCTCTGAGCCGAAGCTTCCAGAGGAACGATCAGGCAGCAACACTTGCTGTTCAGCAATATTCACTCTTCTGCAGCCTCCGCTGCTGATACCCAGGCAAACAGGGTCTGGACTGGACCTCCAGCAAACTCCAACAGACCTGCAGCTGAGGGTCCTGACTGTTAGAATGAAAACTAACAAACAGAAAGGACATCCACACCAAAACCCCATCTGTACATCACCATCATCAAAGACCAAAGGTAGATAAAACCACAAAGATGGGGAAAAAACAGAGCAGAAAAGCTGAAAATTCTAAAAATCAGAGTGCCTCACCCCCTTCAAAGGAATGCAGCCCCTCGCCAGCAACAGAACAGAACAAAGCTGGATGGAGAAAGACTTTGACGAGTTGAGGGAAGAAGGCTTCAGATGATCAAACTTCTCCGAGCTAAAGGAGGAGGAGATTCAAACCGATCGCAAAGAAGCTAAAAACCTTGAAAAACGAATGGCTTAGACGAATGGCTAATTAAACAATGTATAGAAGTCCTTAAATGACGTGATAGAGCATGGCACAAGAACTACGTGACAAATGCACAAGCTTCATTAACCGATTCAATCAACTGGTAGAAAGAGTATCAGTGACTGAAGTTTAAATGAAATGAAGCAAGAAGTAAAAATAAAACAAAGAATACAAATAAATAAACATAAAAAATAAAACGAAAGAGTAAAAATAAATGAACAAAGCCTCGAAGAAACATGGGACTATGTGAAAAGACCAAATCTACGTCTGACTGGTGTACCTGAAAGTGACAGGGAGAATGGAACCAAGTTGGAAAACACTCTTCAGGATATTATCCAGAAAACTTCCCCAACCTAGTAAGGGAGGCCAACATTCAAATTCAAGAAATACAGAACACCACAAAGATATTCCTCGAGAAGAGCAACTACAAGACACATAATTGTCAGATTCACCAAAGTTGAAATGAAGGAAAAAATGTTAAGGGCAGCCAGAGAGAAAGATCAGGTTACCCACAAAGGGAAGCCCATCAGACTAACAGTGGATCTCTCGGCAGAAACTCTACAAGCCAGAAGAGAGTGGGAGGCCAATATTCAACATTCTTAAAGAAAAGAATTTTCAACCCAGAATTTCATATCCAGCCAAACTAAGTTTCATAAGTGAAGGAGAAATAAAATCCTTTACAGACAAGCAAATGCTGAGAGATTTTGTCACCACCAGGCCTGCCCTACAAGAGCTCCTGAAGGAAACACTAAACATGGAAAGGAACAACCAGTACCAGCCAGCACAAAAACATGACAAAATGTAAAAACCATCAATGCTAGGAAGAAACTGCATCAAATAACAAGCAAAATAACCAGCTAACATCATAATGACAGGATCAGATTCACACATAACAATATTAACCTTAAATGTAAATGGGCTAAATGCTCTAATTAAAAGAGATACAGACTGGCAGATTGGATAAAGAGTCAAGACTCATCAGTTTGCTGTATTCAGGAGACCCATTACATGTGCAGAGACACACATAGGCTCAAAATACAGGGGTAAAAGGAGATCTACCAAGCAAATGGAAAACAAAAAAAGGCAGGGGTTGCAATCCTAGTCTCTGATAAAACAGACTTTAAATCAACAAAGATCAGAAGAGACAAAGAAGGCCATTACATAATGGTAAAGG